GTCCCGGCTGCAGGAAAGCAGGGTCAATTGGCTCAGAGATGTCAATCGTGCTTGATGGAAGAGTAGGAGGTTCAGAAAGGGACGTTCTACAGACAAGCGTCATGTAATACAGCAAATCAGTGGGATAGTGCCGCCCATCTCAACCAAGGACCAAAAACAAAACCATTGTAGTATCATTGCCTGGCTTTAGTTTCAGTGCTCCATCAAGGTAGTCTCAGTTTCTGAAAGCGGAGCCGCAGAAACAGCAACAAACTAAAAAATAAGAAATGAAAGCAAACTGAGAGGAAAAGGTAAATAAGTGAAAAACCATACAAACATTTATGAGGCTAAAAGGGGTTGAATCACCCAAAAAGTCTACGATGCAAATATTCCAAGATTTTTTTTTCTTTTTTTGAGAAATAATATTCCAAGATTTTATGTGTTAAGGAATTATCATAGAAACTGGAATTACCAGACTAAGTTGAGAAATAAACATTCAAAATGTTAATACAGGCGCACACATTTTCATATCATCTGGCAAAGAGTTTAAGGATAGAGATGCCATTTGACTTTGGCAATTAAGATTAAATAGTATCAAGATTAGCCAACATACCGAGCAAATCCTCATAAGAATCAGCTGACAGGGACGTGTCCATTAACAAAAGACGGGAGAACACTTGATCATGAGAATCTTCCATGTCAAAAAAGGGCCTCTCAGCATCAGAAGATGCTACATGATTTGAATCAGCTGCTCATAAAAATCCATTACTTGATCATAATCATGTAGTGAATTCAAATTGCTCAAGATCTCCAGCTAGTCATCGTACTTGCCACTCATACAGTCACCATGAGGGTGGTTGTCAAGCAACGAATTGTCTGTTTGAGATGAAAACAGTCTCTTACTCCTTATGGAGATGACTCTATTTTCTGGACCCACCTGAGAAAAATTAGCTGATGAAATAGGCACAAAATAGTGTTCAGAACTTCCATCAGAGTGACTGTCTTGTGATGATTCTGAATTGCGGGATCGCATTGACAGAGCAGCTTCCCTTACAGAACTCTTTAGGTTCAGAACATAAGAATTATCACTATCTGCAAAATATGAAACTAAAGATCAAAGCCTTTGACTAAAGCAATTAATGACCAATTTTTTAAATGAAATGCCAAAACCCTAAGCTCAAAGCATGGCATGGACTGAGAAGATAAAGAGTGGCAAACCTTGGGGAAAGTTATCGAGGCATTTATTTGACAAAGATTGGTCCACAGAGCTTCCTTTCAGAAAAATTTTCTTTTGGTTGGTCTGAGAAGCTCAACTGCTTCGCTTTTGCATGTTTCCCTCTTTCCCTGAAGAGTTTGGGGTCAAACTAAATAATTGTGGGAGCTTCAAAGCTGGAGAACCAGCTGACACCTTGCCAAGCTGGATGGTAGACATTTTTTAAGTAACATCAGAAACATCACCTGTGCTACTTTCCTGTATAATTTCAAAAATGAAAAAAGAATCATCAGTTCTCCTAATGTAATTATCAAATTCTAAAAAGTAGTTTCAAAGCTTTGCATGAAAAGGAGGACAAAATATATATATATATATATATATTGAACAACTACCAGTGTCCTTCCACTACTCTGAGATTGAAGAGCCGATGCGGCTTGACCGCTATGTCTGGTCACAGAAGGCATGTTGGCAGAAATGTTATTTACTTTTTCTGTACATTCTGATATTAAATTCTGTATAGCTGGAGCAACTTCCTTCAGCAACGTTAATGAGCACCAGCACAATAAAAGCATTTGAATGGGAATAACATTTCAGCATGTCGGAATGACGTCTTCTTTTTTTATTGGGTTGGGGCGAGGGGGGAGGGTTCGGGGTTAAATATTTAGGAATGATACCTAAAATCAAAGAAGCTGCTAAAAGATCTAGTAATAATAATAATGAAAATAATAATACTATAGTTACAATGCCATATGATATTAAAATTTTATAATTTTATATAATATTAAATAAATATGCATTGATATTAAATAAGTTTATATTTATGATATTATGAGTAAACTCTAGAACGAAAAGAGTTAATTATATAATTATATATTATATTATAAATTCATAATATCACGTAATATTATAATTATAATATTTTTATAATAAAAAGTTGTTTTTTTATTCAATATACAACATAAATTTTACTCTTTTTTTTGTGGAACAACGATCAAGACAAAATAAAAAATTTAAATGTAATTTTTAGAGTATATTCACTTTGAAATAAATAATATTAGTGTTGTTAAAAGGGTCTGCTTCAACTGCTTAAGCAGTTGAAGCGGGCGCTTCTGTTAATTTTTTAAATTTAGACAAAAATACCCCCATTAAAATAATAATTTAGCCAATAAATATTTAATTTAGAATGTAAAATTGAATTTTTAACCATTTTAACCTAAATTGGAGTAATTAAGACATAAGAGCATGCTCAGCCTATTTCTCTTTCTTCCTTGCTGCTTCATGCGTTCTCTTCACTGCTAGTGCTTTCTCTTCTTTACAAGTTCCCTTCACTGCTACTGCTTCTCATCTTTAAAAACCTTAGCTATTTCTTTCTAACGGGTGTTTCTCTAGGTATTATTCCTCTTTTATCTTCTCTTTTGCTTTGCTATTTTCACTTTTCCCTCTTTGTTTTCTTCTCCTTTCCCCTGTTTTTCTTTGGTAAAATCATGGAGTTAACAAACTGCTCCCTTGTTTTGAATCTCTCTTTTTAAGATCTACATATTTGTCCGTTTCGCTTTACGCTTCACTGGTTAACCGTTTTTTGAGACTGATGTTTCAGACCGCTTTACAGTTTTGACAGCTTCAGTGTTCTTTCAGGCTAGCATTTTAGACTGCTTTAGGCCTTTGATAACAGTGCTTTGAAATGAGAAAAAAAGGTTGTCCAATCCAAATTGTACTGAATTACACGATAAAACTCTTGGATAAGAGATGAACTCTCCCTAGGGTTCCTAATTTGCTATCCGAATTGCCAAAAAGCATACTCGCAATTTTTTCTTTTTTTTTTTCATTTCCAAACATGATCTTAATATCCCAAAACCAAGAAGAAAACTGAAAGGTAATGGGATCAGAACTCAGAAGCCAGACAAACATAGGCAATCAAAATAGTTATCGAAGAAAATTGACAGTTCCTTTTTTGTTTCATTGGTACACGGTACATAGTACGAGTTATATCTCATCCTCTAACAGACATGCTAAATCCAAATTCCAGAACACGCAACTTTCCCCCCACAGTATTTCTCTTTGGGTGGAGTGCTTGCAAAGAACATACATACTTTTGCACAAGGTTTTTTTTTTCCATCATAATTAAACAACCATCTAAATGGGGAGTTCTAACTGCCATATCCATTTACAGAGAACAAAGATCTACTTAGTTGAATACAATTTCTACTAGTGAAGACATGGAAAGACCTACAGGAGCACATACCGTGGGGTTTACCATTTTGTTGATTTACATTTTGCAGCTTTTCCATCATCCAAGTAAGGCCTGAAAGTCCTCATTACTGTCTCATATGTTGGCCTCTTGTAGTCCACTGCCTGTAATGAATTTTCTTCTATTACATCTATGAGCTTTACAAGTAATGTCAAATCAAAGAAATTAGGTATAAGGAAGGTTTAGCAGGATACCTGCTCAATAACTTCTTCAGGGTTTGCCCATTTCCACTCAGCGAATTCTGGCTCTGCTTCCCCGGTTGCCAAGTTGATCTCACTTTCATCTTTAGTTAATCTCATAAGAAACCTGCCAATTTTTTCCAATTTCTTGTTAGGTCATAAACTAGATGAAACAGAATATGTGAACTATAATGTCTTCATCTGTATTTTTACTGAAATTAGACAAGAAATAGGTAACCGTTTGTTGTTTTAGAAAACCAGGATTAAGCATCGTTTCAAATAAAGGGTAGAAGAGGAAGACTAATAATTCTAGAACAAAAAACAGCCAAATTTAACACATGATATCCATAAGAAACAAGAATTTTATGCCTCTCAACACTTAAGTGCTTTAACAACTCATCCATTTGGAGTTTTAACCTTTAGCACGAGGTACCGATTTCATTCTTAGTGGAAAATGTTTTGTTTCTGCTTCCCATCACTGTACAAGAAGAAACAGTCACAAGCACCCATGTTTATCAAATAAGACAATGAATGAAAGGCCTACAAAGCTTGCATTAAAATGTGGCTTGATAATCTTTTGAAGTACATTTATAAAACACAAACTAACTCCAATAAGGGAATTGTGTTAAAACTAAAAGGAAATGACAGGTTGCTTCTTCCCTAGCTGATAAATGATAATATAGGCCTGGCAATTACATAAATAGCCAGTGTAAAAGTTAACTCTAACAAAGAACTAGTCCCAAGTATAATGAAAAGGCTCCTTTATACCCCTAACTACTAACTAAGAAGTGAAGCCCGCTTCTATTTCTCTAGTTGTACACCGCCATGATGGATGATGATTCTTGTCCCTCTCCATTTGTAGTTATAGCTGCCATATGATATATCATAAAAATAACTAAACTACTTAACATCCTATTAGTAAGTTGAATACAATTATTGATGCAAAGAAAGCACAATTATACTTCCATGGAAAAAGAAAATTCAAAAAAGGTATTGAATATCTCTAGCTTCTCCTTGCATCAGGAAGTCAGGCCGCAATCAGGAAAACAAAAATTGTGGCATGGCTCCAATGAGTGCAAAGAGAAGGGTAAATTGGTGTTGTCTCACATCAGTCAAGTTTGGGGTTTTCTGTGGCCTTATGCTAGGGTTGAGCCCCTACACTTAACGCCAATTAGTCTTCGGCTGGACTTGGATGCTATTTAACAAAGACAATCCATAATCTCCTTTCGCATCATCAACTTTCTCAGAATATTCAACTCCCACATAATTTATCTTATATTTCTTGCTACTATGATGTCCTTAAAACTATACATGAGAATACATGTAAAAACAACAATCGTTGTTCTAGAACTAAGAAAAGTGTTTGAGCAGCACAAGAACAGGTAAACATCATAAAATCCCCAGTTAAGTACCGATATAATCCATTAATGGGTTTCTGTTTTCCAGCATACACTTTCTCAAATTTATAAAAAAAAAAATTCAATTGGATCATCCCACGGATTGACACATGACCCATGATAGACAAGTTAGGATCGGTTTTCATTGATTCACAACCCATTTTAACACAATCCTTTTTTTACTCGTGATCCGTTCTGAGCTAATCAGCCGGTTTGCAAGGTTTACTTGTTTCCCATATAAAACTAAGGCTTGCGCTCTTCCCGCATCCCTTGGTAAGAA